ATTTTATTTTTTTGTCATGAATCAACAACAAGTGGGACACAATCGTGAAGTGGAACGAAATTTATTGGATAATTTAAACTTTTAGAAAAAATAAAAAACTGAAAAGTGGGGCGTGCAATATTATTCGGCCCCTTTACTTTCAGTGCAGCAAACTCAGTCCCGAAGTTCAGTGAGGATCTTTGAATGATCCAATGTTGTCCTAAATGACTGATGATGATAAATAGAATGCACCTGTGTGTAATCAAGTCTCCGTATAAATGCACCTGCTCTTTGATAGTCTCAGGGTTCTGTTTAAAGCGCAGAGAGAACCATGAAGACAAAGGAACACACCAGGCAGGTCCGAGATACTGTTGTGGAGAAGTTTAAAGCCGGATTTGGATACAAAAAGATTTCCCAAGCTTTAAACATCTCAAGGAGCACTGTGGAAGCAATTATATTGAAATGGAAGGAGTATCAGACCACTGCAAATCTACCAAGACCCGGCCGTCTCTCCAAACTTTCATCTCAAACAAGGAGAAGACTGATCAGAGATGCAGCCAAGAGGCCCATGATCGCTCTGGATGAACTGCAGATAACTACAGCTGAGGTGGGAGAGTCTGTCCATAGGGCAACAATCAGTCGTGCACTGCACAAATCTGCCCTTTATTGAAGAGTGGCCATTTCTCAAAGATATCCAATAAAAGTCTCTTAAAGTTTGCCACAAGCCACCTGGGAGACACACCAAACATGTGGAAGAAGGTGCTCTGGTCAGATGAAACCAAAATTAAACTTTTTGGCCACAATGCAAAACGATATGTTTGGCGTAAAAGCAACACAGCTCATCACCCTGAACACACCATCCTCACCTCAGCTGTAGTTATCTGCAGTTCATCCAGAGTGATCATGGGCCTCTTGGCTGCATCTCTGATCAGTCTTCTCCTTGTTTGAGATGAAAGTTTGGAGTTTAAAAAAAGTTTAAAAAAAGTTTAAATTATCCAACAAATTTCATTCCACTTCACGATTGTGTCCCACTTGTTGATTCATGACAAAAAATATTTTTTTTATATCTTTATGTTTGAAGCTTGAAATGTGGCAAAATGTTGAAAGGTTCAAGGGGGGCGAATACTTTCGCAAGGCACTGTATCCACTCAGCCACCGTGCCGCCCAAATAAAGGTTACACCTCTTCTTTTATCATTAAAGTGTTTTAAGTATTTTTAATGAATTTTTATATGTAAATATTAGCATTTTAGCTCAATAGCTTCCAGGTCATGTGATCAATTGACTCCAAATCAGGTCAAGATCATAGTCCTCCACTAGCTGCAGGAGGTACACCTCTTCTTTTATCATTAAAATGTTTTAAGTATTTTTAATGAATTTTTAAAGGCAAATATTAGCATTTTAGCTCAATAGCTTCCAGGTCATGTGACCTATTGACTCCAAATCAGGTCAGGATCATAGTCCTCCACTAGCTGCAGGGGGTACACCTCTTCTTTTATCATTAAAGTGTTTTAAGTATTTTTAATGAATTTTTATATGTAAATATTAGCATTTTAGCTCAATAGCTTCCAGGTCATGTGACCTATTGACTCCAAATCAGGTCAGGATCATAGTCCTCCACTAGCTGCAGGGGGTACACCTCTTCTTTTATCATTAAAATGTTTTAAGTATTTTTAATGCATTTTTAAAGGCAAATATTAGCATTTTAGCTCAATAGCTTCCAGGTCATGTGATCAATTGACTCCAAATCAGGTCAGGATCATAGTCCTCCACTAGCTGCAGGAGGTACACCTCTTCTTTTATCATTAAAATGTTTTAAGTATTTTTAATGAATTTTTAAAGGCAAATATTAGCATTTTAGCTCAATAGCTTCCAGGTCATGTGACCTATTGACTCCAAATCAGGTCAGGATCATAGTCCTCCACTAGCTGCAGGGGGTACACCTCTTCTTTTATCATTAAAATGTTTTAAGTATTTTTAATGAACTTTTAAAGGCAAATATTAGCATTTTAGCTCAATAGCTTCCAGGTCATGTGATCAATTGACTCCAAATCAGGTCAGGATCATAGTCCTCCACTAGCTGCAGGAGGTACACCTCTTCTTTTATCATTAAAATGTTTTAAGTATTTTTAATGAATTTTTAAAGGCAAATATTAGCATTTTAGCTCAATAGCTTCCAGGTCATGTGACCTATTGACTCCAAATCAGGTCAGGATCATAGTCCTCCACTAGCTGCAGGGGGTACACCTCTTCTTTTATCATTAAAATGTTTTAAGTATTTTTAATGAACTTTTAAAGGCAAATATTAGCATTTTAGCTCAATAGCTCCCAGGTCATGTGATCAATTGACTCCAAATCAGGTCAGGATCATAGTCCTCCATTAGCTGCAGGAGGTACACCTCTTCTTTTATCATTAAAATGTTTTAAGTATTTTTAATGAATTTTTAAAGGCAAATATTAGCATTTTAGCTCAATAGCTTCCAGGTCATGTGATCAATTGACTCCAAATCAGGTCAGGATCATAGTCCTCCACTAGCTGCAGGGGGTACACCTCTTCTTTTATCATTAAAGTGTTTTAAGTATTTTTAATGAATTTTTATATGTAAATATTAGCATTTTAGCTCAATAGCTTCCAGGTCATGTGATCTATTGACTCCAAATCAGGTCAGGATCATAGTCCTCCCCTAGCTGTAGGGGGTACACCTCTTCTTTTATCATTAAAATGTTTTAAGTATTTTTAATGAATTTTTAAATGCAAATATTAGCATTTTAGCTCAATAGCTTCCAAGTCATGTGACCTATTGACTCCAAATCAGGTCAGGATCATAGTCCTCCACTAGCTGCAAGGGGTACACCTCTTTTTTGTCATTTAAGGTTTTTTAAGAATTTTTAATAATTTTTTAAAGGCAAATATTAGCATTTTAGCTTAATAGCTTCCAGGTCATGTGACCTATTGACTCCAAATCAGGTCAGGATCATAGTCCTCCACTAGCTGCAGGGGGTACACCTCTTCTTTTATCATTAAAGTGTTTTAAGTATTTTTAATACATTTTTATATGTAAATATTAGCATTTTAGCTAAATAGCTTCCAGGTCATGTGACCTATTGACTCCAAATCAGGTCAGGATCATAGTCCTCCACTAGCTGCAGGGGGTACACCGCTTTTTTATCATTAAAATGTTGTAAGTGTTTTTAATGATTTTTTATATGTAAATATTAGACCAGCGTACATGTCTTCGCGTGTTTACCGTACTGTGTGTAGTAGGGGTGCACTAAAATGTTGGAGCGGCTTTCGAGTCGCTCTGAACCCAGAGAGAAGGAGAGGTGTACCGAGAGGGAATGACCGTTGAATGTCTGTCGGATATCCAACTTCAAACTAACTTCACCGCGGTCCTACAGGTGTATGCAGGGGATGAAGCGTGTTGGGTTCGCTTGTGAGTCTGAACCCAACACGCTTCCGTAGGGGATAAAAGCACAAGATGTCTGCTTTAATCTACATTGACGTTGTCATATCCAAAATCCATCTCACCCATTCCAAAACTCTCCATGACCAGACCAGAGTCAGGAGTGCTTTTCACTGTGAGGGGTCACCAGGACCAATCTCCCTCTAGTGGAGCTTCAGTGCAGTGTGTTGTTGATACCATGGACAGCTCCACTAATTTACATCTTATTGTAAATTGGTGATACTCACTGACATGATTGATGTGCAGCAAGTCCAGTCTTAAACCGGAACACAAATCTGGAAACATACTCAGGTCATAGACAATAACGTCACAGTTCCAGACCTGTCACAGTGAGTTGTTCTTGTGTTAACATTTATTAAGAATATACAATTAGTCATTATAACATATGTAGTATGATGACATTTGTTGGTCTTTTTACTCTTCTAATTTTTCAGCATTTTTCAGCAGTCAAAGTGAACAGCAAATAAGTAAACGGTGTGTCCTTTGAAATTTGAATTCAATTGTGTGGACATAGGAAGGGCCTAGTACCTACCACCTACCAGTAGCTGCCACTCACCTGTGTCCCTGTTTGATGAGAGGTTGGCTTCAGGATTGTCCTAGAGGGTCCTCCCGAGTGCCCTGGAGGTTCCGAAAGCTGTGAGAACATACGGCTGTGAGAATAGAGACTATAGATCTGAGGGAATATAGATAGAGCTGTGTGAAAATTGGCCCACAGGAACATAGAGCTTTGAGTAACAAATGTCTGTGGGAGCATAGATAAGATACACTTTATTTTCCCCAAGGGAAATTTGCTGCAGGTTCAGTGGTACACAGATCTGCACGGAAAAACTTCTTTATAAACATTAATAGAACAATAGTAAAGTGCATGAGGCTACGAAGTCTCTGTTAGGTTAATAACCCTCATCATTTCATTCTGACATCCCACCCCCAGGGCAGCTGTGGCTACAGTAGTAGTTTATCACCACTGTATGGAGTTAATGATTAATAAGATGTCTTTGAGTGTCGAGAAAGACGCTATATAAAACCAATGCATTATTATTATTATTATTAGCTATATCTGTGTGAGTTGAGATGTTGTTGGTGTGCCTTGGGAGATATTCAAATATCACATAATTGGTTAAAATAATGTGAGAAGATTAGAAAGACTTGTTTTGCGCTTGTTTCATTTTCTATAGATACCTACTTAGTACTACTAATAAGAATGACTTTGCTTTCATACAAAAAGTTGCAAAGTTTCATGTTTGTATCAGTTTCAGCTGGTGGTGTGCCCTGTGAGTGCTTTCAACTAAAAGGTACGCCAAGGCTACAAAAAGGTTGGGAAACACTGATCTATATGATACAATAACCCAACATTTGTATTCTGAACTTCTCCTTAAGATGCAATCATATCTCCCAAAACTCTTTTTATCATACTAGAGAGGGCCAACACTTTCCGCTTTTAAACATTAATAGTTAATTTGTTTCTTATGTTCAATTCTAATAATTCCTGATTTGATGGCAGGTGTATAAAAGTTAATTATAAAAGCCTGATAGGGTAGAGGTTAAAGCTTTATCAGTGGTTTCAAATAAAGTGTTGCTTTTTCTTCTAATAAACATGACTTATCACTTATTTAAAGTGTCCAAAATTAGTTTATAAAACAGTTTATGTCAATGTGCGTGGATGTAGCGGCCTTGTGCGCGCCCATATCTGCTCTCTGGCTCCAGACGGGGCTCTCTCTGCGCTCCTGTTTAGTCTGTCCCTCTGTCCTTCGGGTGTTCAATGCTCTGGAGGGCCACGGCTCCTCTCACCCCTCCTGTAGATCACATTTATTATGTGGGGGTTTCATCTTTCCTTATTAATGATGGCTCTTACTTCCACCAGGCCAAGTGCCGCCTGTCAGATCTGTTAAGTGGTCAGGTGGGTAATTGATTAAGAATACTGATCCATAAGAAAATAATGAACACTGAAGCAAGGAGATTTAAGAATATGCATATACTAAAAGCAATAAACCGCTATATTATCCGGTAAGGGATGACATATTTAATTATTTATTGTATTTATACAGCGTCATTCATGCAAAAACAACCAAGAATGCTTAACACACAAATATAACATTGGGAAACAATGCAACATGTTGAGAAATAAAAACATAGAAAGCAAAAGTAGTATTATATATACAGTGCCTTGCGAAAGTATTCGGCCCCTTTGAACCTTTCAACACTTTGCCACATTTCAGGCTTCAAACATAAAGATATAAAAATTAAAATTTTTGTCAAGAATCAACAACAAGTGGAACGAAATTGATTGGATAATTTAAACTTTTTTAACAAATAAAAAACTGAAAAGTGGGGCGTGCAATATTATTCGGCCCCCTTGCGCTAATACTTTGTAGCGCCACCTTTTGCTGCAATTACAGCTGCAAGTCGCTTGGGGTATGTCTCTATCAGTTTGCACATCGAGAGACTGGAATTCTTGCCCATTCTTCCTTGCAAAACAGCTCGAGCTCAGTGAGGTTGGATGGAGAGCGTTTGTGAACAGCAGTCTTCAGCTCTTTCCACAGATTCTCGATTGGATTCAGGTCTGGACTTTGACTTGGCCATTCTAACACCTGGATACGTCTATTTGTGAACCATTCCATTGTAGATTTGGCTTTATGTTTTGGATCATTGTCCTGTTGGAAGATAAATCTCCGTCCCAGTCTCAGGTCTTTTGCAGACTCCAACAGGTTTTCTTCCAGAATGGTCCTGTATTTGGCTCCATCCATCTTCCCATCAATTTTAGCCATCTTCCCTGTCCCTGCTGAAGAAAAGCAGGCCCAAACCATGATGCTGCCACCACCATGTTTGACAGTGGGGATGGTGTGTTCAGGGTGATGAGCTGTGTTGCTTTCAAGCCAAACATATCGTTTTGCATTGTGGCCAAAAAGTTCGATTTTGGTTTCATCTGACCAGAGCACCTTCTTCCACATGTTTGGTGTGTCTCCCAGGTGGCTTGTGGCAAACTTGCCACTCTTCCATAAAGGCCAGATTTGTGCAGTGCACGACTGATTGTTGTCCTATGGACAGACTCTCCCACCTCAGCTGTAGTTATCTGCAGTTCATCCAGAGTGATCATGGGCCTCTTGGCTGCATCTCTGATCAGTCTTCTCCTTGTTTGAGATGAAAGTTTGGAGGGACGGCCGGGTCTTGGTAGATTTGCAGTGGTCTGATACTCCTTCCATTTCAATATAATTGCTTGCACAGTGCTCCTTGAGATGTTTAAAGCTTGGGAAATCTTTTTGTATCCAAATCCGGCTTTAAACTTCTCCACAACAGTATCTCGGACCTGCCTGGTGTGTTCCTTTGTCTTCATGGTTCTCTCTGTGCTTTAAACAGAACCCTGAGACTATCAAAGAGCAGGTGCATTTATACGGAGACTTGATTACACACAGGTGCATTCTATTTATCATCATCAGTCATTTAGGACAACATTGGATCATTCAAAGATCCTCACTGAACTTCTGGAGTGAGTTTGCTGCACTGAAAGTAAAGGGGCCGTATAATATTGCACGCCCCACTTTTCAGTTTTTTATTTGTTAAAAAAGTTTAAATTATCCAATACATTTCGTTCCACTTCACGATTGTGTCCCACTTGTTGTTGATTCATGACAAAAAATTAAAATTTTATATATTTATGTTAGAAGACTGAAATGTCGCGAAATGTTGAAAAGTTCATACTTTCGCAAGGCACTGTATATTTTCAAAAATAGGTTCATGTAAATAGGTTAATGCGAGAACGAAACACTCCCTCGCTATTTTTTCTCCTGATGTTTTGGACAGTCCCAAACATAAAACCTTCTCGAGTTCATATGGATCAAGTGTATCCTGTATATGTTGAACCATTCAGTGCCTTTTACACCAAGAGAAGTTGTTTAACCTCCCATACGAGATTGTAAAACTGATGTCATATGATGTTTTGCTGCTGTCAAATGTTTTGCTGAGCATGGTAAAAATTCTATTTCAATTTTCCAATCTTCTGAAGATTAAATAATGTGGAATCTTTTCCAAGTCATGTTTGATAAAACACTTTTACTCTAATCCAGCTATATTTGGTGGTAAAAAGCTGATTTAGTTATTGCATTAGGGTGTCAAACTTGTAACAGCATTAAGGTGGCAGAAAAGTGAATCGACAGTTGTGTGATCAGCGTATTTTGATATGAGATGTTATAGTCATTCATAATCAGGGGCTCTTTAACCCTACAAACCTAATTCACATGTTTTCCCCGATAGAAACGAACTCCAAGTCTTTTAAGTAAGACTTAAACCAATGTAACACATTACCAGATAACCTTGCTCACTTTTCAAGAAGTCTCTCAAGAAAAGTAGAATGATCCACTTAATAAAATACAGTCCTCCCAGAGGGAAGAAGCTGGAACATGGCTTCTCCAGGTTGTCCAGAGGAATCATTGATAATTTGAAGATCTTGATTTACCCATAGACTGTAGATTTACCATTAATCTTTATTGAAGGGACAGAGCACAGAGATATTTAGCTCATAGAGACAGATATATTTTGTACCAGATTATAGCTGGATGCTAGTTTCCATCTGCAGTCCCTGGTTACAGAGACATAAATTACAATATACAATATGAAAGTGCATCTATTTGTTCTCTATTGACCACTCAACACTTTACCGTTCACTACATGTCATTCATTCTGCATCAAATCATTTACAAGTCTGGATTAAAAAAGAGCCTCTGGAACAGGCAGTTCACAACTCACACAGACAAAACAGGTATCAGAATAAATGCAAAATGCATTCTTTTTTTAAAATATCTCTAATTATGAAAATACATTATTTTACTATTAAATTTAAAATGATTCTGTTACCACTTTATTCACGTTTTCCCTTCATGTTGGCGCCTGTGTTTTCAAGGTGAGTACTTGCACATGAGCAACCAAAACATTTTGGGCAAACATTAAACAATGATCTGAATCAGAACAGTTACTGTTTGCATCGAGATACTTTTAAAAATGTCTTGCACAGTTAGCACAAATGTATCATGATACTCTGCAAAAGATTACTTATGTGTAATTCAGGCCAACATAAGTCTCCTTAATACATTAAGAATCGTGGCTATTCTATAAATTCTATAATTTGTTAATTACACAAGGTAACACCATGTACACAGAAGTACTGAGCTTGTACCCAACAACTTTTCTAATCAGAGGCTACATTGCTTTAAATACTCCACATTACTGTGGAATCATGATGATGATTAAGTTGGACACTGATGGGCAAAGTTTGGTTTTCAATGTAAAGAAGAGTTAAATACTGAAAACACATTCTTTTTTTTAAATCAAATGACCTGTAGGATAACTCAGACATCAAAAGATTAGTTGCACATTTTTGGAAAGAATATAAAAACTTGAAAAAAAAAAAGTTATTGCTTTAGCCTCATCTCATATTATTTTACATTATATAAGTATTATATAATGTTATTTTTTTAAACCCAGTAAACACCAATAGCCATTCAAAGACATCACATGGTTTTGCAACGATCACAGCCCTGTCCTTCTGTTTCGTTTGGTTCTCTAGAGAATTTTAATTTTCTGCGTATTATCAGATGTTGTCATAACTCCTTGTGGATGATTGCACATGTCACCACCAGTCACAGTGACATGTGCAGATAAGACACTGCTCAGTGGCGCGCATTTTCATAAACACTTGCGTATGGAGGAGGCTGGGGCCCTCAGTATAAAGCAGGCAGAGGTCCCTCCCAATGAGCACTATCACCATGGCACACCCGCATCTGTGCCTGCTCCTGGGGGCAGCCATACTCTGCACTGGTAAGAGACTGGGAGGAAAGAGGAGTTTCTTTTGGATTGTTGGAACCGATTCATTGTGTTTGTCTTTTCTTCCACAGAAGCGTTCCATCTGCAGCAGGCATTTGGCTACGGTAAACAGCAGGGGCAGGGCTACATTCTGCAGCAGGGACAGGGACATGGACAGGGACAGGGAATAGGTCAAGGACAGGGACAAGGCATAGGTCAAGGACAAGGACAGGGACAAGGGCAGGGGCAGGGTTATGGTCAAGGACAGGGACAGGGGCAAGGACAGGGCATTGGTCAGGGGCAGGGTTATGGTCAAGGACAGGGTTATGGCCAGGGGCAAGGGCAGGGACAAGGACAGGGACAGGGACAAGGACAGGGACAAGGACAGGGACAAGGACAGGGGCACGGACAGGGGCAGGGACAAGGACAAGGACAGGGGCAAGGACAAGGACAGGGACAAGGACAGGGGCACGGACAGGGACAGGGACAAGGACAAGGACAGGGGCAGGGACAAGGACAGGGGCAAGGACAAGGACAGGGACAAGGACAAGGACAGGGACAAGGACAGGGGCACGGACAGGGGCAGGGACAAGGACAAGGACAGGGGCAGGGACAAGGACAAGGACAGGGACAAGGACAGGGGCAAGGACAAGGACAGGGACAAGGGCAGGGGCAGGGACAAGGACAAGGGCAGGGACAAGGACAGGGTTATGGACAGGGACAGGGCTATGGTCAATATCAGGGACAGGGCTACATCCAACAGCAGGGATACCTTCTTCAGCACGGATACGGAAAACCTTTCGGACACGGAAAACCTTTCGGACACGGAAAACCTTTTGGATACGGAAAACTCTACGGATACGGCATGGGTATGTACTTTGTAAACAGATCGATTTTTGTTCAGTCAGAATAGTTGAAATAGTAGAAATATTGTATTGATGTAGGAAGTGTTTATAAAATTAATCAATGATTTCATTCACAAATTGTAATGTTTGTGAATGGACCATCATGGACCATCATTGATCCATGATACAGAAATCACAGCAAATCATTTTTTAAGCTAGTTGATTCCATAGTGTAATATGTAAATGTCAGGCCATATTTCACTAGTGGTCGTGTTATCATTCATTATATCCCTAAAATACAATAAACAATAAAAGAGCAAGTGCAAGAGTGAAACAAAAACATGTTCTCACTAGTTATAATCTATAATCCAATGATTCTTGTGAGCCGTAGGTCTAATGCAGATATGTCAAACTCAGGCCCGTTTGCCAAATGTGGGCCGCAAGACCATTTTAGTGGCCCCTAAATTATGTTGTATTCTTATGGTATACTTTAGATTTTTTTATCAGGAATACGACCATATATGTCGGTTCTAAAATGTAAAGTAAATAGAAGTGCAGTTTGTAATTTTTAATTACATCTTATCTTGATATTTGGCTCAGAAAATAATAATAATAAGTTTGTATTTTGACAGTAATATAAGGCCAAAATACAAAATCTCCAACCAGCTCTTGCCAGCGCTTTTAAATTTGCCCACTGACCAAAATTAGTTCGTCACCCCCAGTCTAATGCAACTGTTTTTCCTAATTCAACATTTTTATGACGGACAACCACTTTATCGTGATATCATTGCTGTCTTTTTTAACATCACGTGAACTTCTTCCTCTCTGCTTTTGTTGTCCAACAGGTTACGGCTGGATGCGTAACCTCCGCATGTGCACTACATGGGGGAACTACCACTTCAGGACGTTCGATGGAGCCATGTACAAGCTCAAGTCCGACTGTAACTACGTGATGGCCGCTTCCCAGTCCGGTCCTCACCCCAACTTCAGAGTGGAGATCCGCAGGGGCCAGGGAGAGGGGTCCAAGCCCGTCATCACCAGGGTGCTGCTGGTTCTGGATGGGGTGTCTGTGGAGATCATAGCCGGAAGCGTGAGCATTAACGGAAACCAGTGAGTCACATTTATATATCTATATATGAGTTATGCATGGGAACAATGTGAGTTTGTGCTTGAAAGTTTATACACCCTGGCAGAAATGTTGTCCGTATTAAATGGAAATAGATCATATTTTTTCACTCCTTGTCAGTGTTTGTGCTAAGTCATTTCTTTTCATTTTTTCTGTTTTCTGTTTATAATGACAACAGAAATCTTTATTCTGACCTGATTAACAGTTTTCATTCCCCCTATTCCCAGTTAACATATATTACAGGTTGGATTTGTTGTGGTAGTTGTGGATGAGGTTCTTTATCCTCTCTCCTAGTAAAGCTGCCCATTCTTGGCAAAAAGCTTCCAATTCCTCTGAATTCCTGGGCCACTGTACATATGAGCTGGTCACAGATAGGCTCAATTGTGTTATAATTTGAAAATAGAATACATGTATAGTTCACACAACCTTCACACAACCAACCACTATTGATAAGTGGGGGAAAATAATTAAATCTCAGTCTGTGTGTGTAAGCAACAACTGCATATTATCCTAGTCAGAGCTTTCCAAACCAACTAGTCTTAGTCAGGTCTAGCCAAACTATGGTCCAGGGGCTATTATTACTGTTGTTCATTCACACTTTCAAATGGCATTTTGAAACAAATACATATTTAAATACGGCAGCTGAAGCAAAGATTTTTACTGTTTTACAAAAAGTTGATTAATTTAATTCGCCCTATACAGTATGATAGCCTATACATGCATGTTTTTGAAAATGTATATTCAAGGGTACATTTTCTCAATTACTGTAAGGTGTTCAAGTACTACTGTAAAAAATATACAAGTAAAAGAAATACATACATTAAAAACTTTGATTTATTTCCCCCGCTGGAAAGTTGTTTGAAACTCATTACTTTTGGTGTTCTGATATTAATAGTTTATTCAAGTTCTTAATTTGTTCTGTAGTCCGGGAGAGTCTCATTGTCCTGATGTACTTGTGTGTGCAGAGTTGAGCTGCCCTGGACCTCGAGCGGGGTGCGAGTGGAGAGGAGCCACGCCTACATCAAAGTCAAGGCCACTCTGGGACTGCTGGCCCTCTGGTGCCCAAGCTCTTTTCTTGTGAGCAATTTTTTTCATAATTACTCTTGAACTAACAGCAGTTTTAAAAGAGGACAACTTAGTCATGTTACAAATCTATATTTTTTAACAGTTTTGAATATCTGTCAATAAAATTACATTTGCCTTTTTGAGTTTTTAACACATCACAACATTTTTCCCTTGTTCTAGCTCCATTCACACAGAATTATGTCCCCCCGTCCCTTCTGTGTAAATGCTCCCATCTAAAACACTACTGTTAAATTATGACTAATTGGCCTTTAAGAACAAACGTTTTGCCTCAAAATAAGTTTTTTCTTTCAGTAAAATTATGTTTGTTACAAGTGTGTGTCCTCCATTAGACAATGACATTAGATGTATAATGTCCATATCCACCACTAGATGGAGGTGCTTCACATCTCATTAGATCAATTCTTCATCTATTATATATATGTCTGTGAATATTTCTTCTACTTTTTTAAGAAAGATAAAATCATTTTTAAGGGAAAAGATGAGCACGGATATTGTATCATAAAAGGAACACAATTTTCAACACAAAACTAAATATCTATTTGACTTCTTAATTCAATTACACTTAAAATAGGTTCGTAATTGAAAACACTAATTTAGATATTACAATATTTTTGTATCTATGGACAACATCTATGGACATTGGTCATCCCCACTGTAGAATCTCATAATCTTAATCTGCCCCTTATGGACCAATGTTTTTCTTTAATGTTTTTCATCATTGCATTTCTTGTGTTTAAATATTGAATGATTGGTTTTCTTTCTTTCAGCTGGAGCTCGATAACAAGTACATGAACCAGACGAGCGGACTCTGCGGAGACTTTAACGGTGCTGCTTACAACGATATCTTAACCCACGGTCAGTGCCTCCAATCACTGTCACATGAAGCAAAAGTGCACAAAGGACTCATTAAATACTCATCAATAGTTTATCATCTGAAAGTAGAGATAGATTTAGCAACACAATCATAGTAGTAATAAGTATGTAATCTTTACCTACATAGCACCCTATATACTACTTATATTTCATTGGTCTTGTGCTTACGTTGTTTTGAATAGGCATCCAAAAGCGTCTGGGCGACTTTGCAAGGATGTGGAGGAAGGACGGACCCACGGAGAGCTGCCCTGACGGAGACCCAGATGTGGACCATCCCAGCTGCGAGCACATGGTGAGTGCTTCTCTCGCCCCCTCCTCAATTCAAATGACTTATGATAGAAGAAGCAAAAGAATCAGATGATTTTTTAATGTTGGCAAGATCTCTTGTGTGTACTATGCACTCTGGGATCTTGCACCAACCAAAGTGGTTTTACTGCAAATGGCAAATACTTTCTTGTAACTATCTGTTAATCGGTCACACTATTGACAATGCATTTTGTATCAAATCTTCAAACTCCTGATCCATAAATGTTGAACCTACAGTATTTGTTGTCATATTTTCTAAGATAACATGCACTTTCAGTCTTCAGTGAATTTACTGCTAAAACTAAGTCATTTTTGATTAATACAAGTCACTGTATATTACTCAAGAAACATAAAACATACACAAAAAAATCTAACTTTTAATACTGACCACAGTATGTCATGTACAGTAATCTATTTCATTAATCACTTATTTCTATCCCTTCTTGCCCAGTATTTAGATTAGTATTGATCAATATCTTATTTTCCATAATTTTGACAACTCCTAATCCTATAAATTATATACAAATTACATTGTAGTTGAAACCAGACTTAGAAGCACACTAAAATTGACCCATAAGTGAAATGACGTAACGTATTAAGGGCCAGGTATAAGCTAACGTTTGTCTTAGACCAAAAGCGCTCAAGATTTTCACTTATTTGCACTAATGCTTTGGCTTTTGTTCTGAGATGTCGGCTATAAGATTAGGGTCAGTTTAACTTGTTATTTGTCAGTCTTCTTAAATTAAAGTTCCTGGAGTGGTTTGTTATGCCCACATTCAACAATAGATTTTGAAAAACAGAACAATTCCAAACGATGCTAACTCACCACTTAAACTAACTGCTATGCACAGATCTGTAAAAAAATTACATAACTTTGTAGTTTTTAATGTTAAGATAAACATAGCTCCAGCCCCGTACACATTTGCAACATTTTTAGTTCCGGAAACTATAAGCTCCACCATAAGCTCCTTCGTAGCTCCATAGAAGTAGATACACAGTAGAACCACAGACATTGGTCATCCCCACTGTAGGATCTCCGAATTTTAATATGAATCTTCCCATTATGGACCGATGGTTCTATATGTTTTTATCATTGCATTTTATTAAACTGTTTGATTCTCTGATCTGTGTTGGCAAATTCAATAGTGCTCAGAGAAAACTACTGTTGTGATTTAGGGATATATAATAATAATTACTAAATTGAGTCTGGTCTATTCACAGTTAGACAGTACAAAAGAATATATAAATTCCACTTTAAGAGCAATGTATTCCTCTGTCTGTTGCAGCGACCTGTCTGCCAGCGCCTCTTCTTCTCCCCCGCCCTGAGCCCATGTCGGTCTCACTTGGACGTGGACGCCTTCGTGACGGCCTGTGTGCAGGACGCCTGTGACTGCGTGAGCGAAACCTCAGAAACTGCCGAGTCCAGCTGCCTCTGCCAGACGCTCTCCGAGTTCTCCAGGCTTTGTGTCCGCTATGGGGGGAAGCCGCAGCACTGGAGGACCAAGAAGATCTGCTGTGAGTGCTGCTTGCTTGACTTGTCTTTGTAAACATTAGTTATTCCGGACATTACTAATTTTTTCTCAAAGTATAGAAAATCTCTTGATTGCTAACTTGATCTGTAGTCTGAGCGGAGCATGCAGGGCCTTAAATGTTTCTGCTAATGCCATCTATATATGACTATATAGCAGACATGTTACATCCTCTACAGTCTATAATGGGACAGATAGTTTCATATTTCCTTTTTTCTTTATTTCTTTTGTGAAAGATGTTATTTCTTTACTATATCTGACATTGAAGATTTACACCTGAGAACTGCAGTAAATATAGGCTACATTTCAGTATTTTATTCATAGTGCAATTCAGTAACATTTGATGATTTGATTAACATAAATAAGAACTTGGGTCCATGCAAAAGCTAATCAAATTTTTGTGAAAAATTATGGCTTAATTCTCTATTTTATAGTGTAACTAGCATGTTTACAACTGTTTAAATGCAGGGCAGTTTATTTTAATGAGGGTGCAGTACTGGCATTCTCCTGCAGAGATCATTATTAATCATATTTGTGCTGCTAGCCCTATGTTGTGTAACTTGCTTTGGCTAGCACAATTATGCGTATAGTATATAGTATTTTTTTATTCAACCTGAGTATGTTTGTGTAGGGAGGTCCTGTCCTCTTCAAATGGAGTACAGAGAATGCGACAGCCCTGTGATGGACACCTGCTCCAACCCAGACGCCAGCGGCACCAGTGACGATTACTGCATGGACGGCTGCTTCTGCCCCGCAGGTAAACACGAGTGCTGAAGTGGGCTGGTGGAGTAATAACATCAAATATACATTTAAAACGTTTTTGAAATTCAAGCTGGGGTCACAATTATACAATCATACATATCATACATATATTATACAATTATTATACATTTGTATGTCAACTGATTACATTTCTTTTAACAACTGAATTCTGTTGTAGTAGTAGTAGTAGTATATATTTGTATTCATTTAATCATTAGGATCCCCCTTAGCTTCCACAAGTGGTCGCTAGTCTCATTAAAACATTTGAAACATACAGTATAAAAACCATTTTCAATACATAATCAGACAAAACTGAATAAACATTTCACAGCATCCTTCAATATTAATTCAACAGCATTGTTGTTTTCTTTTTTTCTTCAAAATATATCTATTATTAGTTTCTCTTGATGCCACAGAGAACTGATTCTAGGCAGCTGAGCATTGAAATAAAACTGTTCCTCTCATACAGCTTGACTTTGGAAAAGGAACTACTAAATCTCGAGAGCTGACCTGCCAAGTCACGCACATCAATTATGTTCAGCCTTGTTAGACAGATTTCCCCCCATTTATTCGCTGTCTGAGGTGATTTTAATTAAGACTTGTCATAACTGTATCAAGAAACGTATCAGAAATAGTGTCTTGTTTCCCCCCATACAACAAATTGATGAATTGAAAGATGGTTAATTACAGTCCTAATATGGTAAAGAAATGAAGAATACGTGCGGATAATTCTTGTAGGTTCAAAAACACCATACATAGCAATTTTGAAAAATGAAAAACTGTAACTTACAAAAGTGGTGATTTATTTCTGTTTGAACGTTCACAGGGACAGTATTGGACGACCTGACTGGTAAAGGCTGTATCCCACTTCAGCAGTGCCACTGTACCTACAACGGTCAACAATACGCCCCCGGAGAGACCTATTCCAGCAACTGCCGCAAATGGTGAGTCTAACCTTTTTGATCCACACTTCCAGCTCTTGTTTACATACATACGTTCATTCTTAATGAATTGTTCTGTGAAAATAAATCTGGATTCTAAATACGGCTTCTCTATCAAAACAATTTTTTAGTTGACAAAACAAATACTGAAAATAATATTATTTCATACCTGACCCAAACTGTACTCACAGAACTTAAATTGAATGGAAGTGCATCTGACTTGAAAAGTAAATACCAAAGTCCTCAGCTGTTATGCTCTATATCTTCTATTTTTTTAATTTTGTAACAAAATTAAGTCACTTTGTCCACTATGTCCATAAACAATTATTATTAGTTTTGTACGACGATAAACTTTACAACCAGGATGTAATGGTTGCCAGCTTCTGTCATTGAATGTACAATCTTGCTATTTCCCAATGCAATAACAAACAAGAATTGCATCAATGTCTGTATATTTGCACATAGTTTTGTAGACTAATAAGGAGTTTGACATTCACATGTTCTTTGATTATATGTGCTATTACTCTTTATACCCTGCAAAAAGTAATGGATAATAAGTCAAACATTGCTCCAATTTTGGCACACACGGACTGCCTTAAAAGAATATTTGCCAATGGGACAAAACAAAATTATCTCGTTTTTAAAAAGATACAAGAAATGTCTCCCTTGGAATGAGAAAATAAAGCAACAGTTCTTGAAATCTCTCATTGACAATCATGTTTTAGTCAAAATAAATAAAATAAAACACTTACACCAATTATTACCTCATATTTTATCATTTTTTTGCAGTGCATTGTATTACACTGCAAAAAATGATACAATTTGAGATCATAATTTCTTGAATTGAGTTGTTTTTTAAATCTTAATTTGAGTACATTCTAACTGTTTTAAAACAAGATTTGTCATTTGGACAAAGCCCTTTAGTGTTATTATTATTATTTAGTGTAGAACTGTTGCTTTATTTTCTCATTCCAAGGAATACATGTCTTGTATCTTAATAAAACTAGATATTTCTGCTTGTCCCATTGGTGAATAATGTTTTAAGGCAGTGAAAATGTGCTCAAATGAAGATACATTTAGCAAAATTTGAGCTTTTTTTTTTGGCAATGTACTGCACTTTTGCCTTGTTGCTCTATCAGTTAATACATTCAATAAAATCAAAGCAACGAGTCTGCCAATGAAAAATATGGTTGATAAGGGAACATTGGCCCTAATTCTAAAACCTTTTGTGTGTGCAGTGTGTGTGAGAGCGGCCAGTGGACGTGCTCATCGACCCACTGCCCAGGCATCTGCTCTCTGACCGGAGGAGCCCACATCACCACGTTTGATGGAAAGCCTTACCACTTCCACGGAGACTGCTCCTACATCATGGCCAAGGTGACGCTTTACCACGGCTTATTACACTTGCTAAAGCAGTGTGTGCGTTTAGTGTTTAATGCAAAGCAACTATCCCAACAGAACTAGGAAAAATAACTCAATTTTAAATGCGGATGTTGCTGAGGTACCAAATTATGTTTTGCTAGTGTCTCACTCTCAAAACAGTTTAGTTCTGTGTCTAGTTTTCTCAAACATGTATTTTTGGTCCTTGTCACATCTTTAGATCTGCTTTTTTTATACTTAATTTGACTTGCTTCATTAAAGCTAAAGATTTTTATAGAGTTTATTTTATTTTATTTTAGTGTAAAGTTTCTGTTTTGTTGAGGTCTGCAGTACTCTATACGGCAATGAGGTCAAAGTATAGAGATATGAATTATTCAATTCAAATGAGTTGAAATTATTCTTGTATAGCCCTAAATCACAACTGTAGTTATCCCCGAGGACCATCCATCATCCATTCACTCACTCATTACATTCAGACCTATTGCACATGTTTTTAGTGGTAGGGGAAACCGGAGCACCTGGAGGAAACCCATGTAGACACGGGGAGAACATGCAAACTCCTCACAGAAAGGCCTGGAGGTGGAATCAAACCCAGGACCTTCTTGCTGTGAAATGCAAGCACTAACCGCCACTTTGCCGTCCAAAATGATGTCATGTTTCATAATATCGACGCCTTCTTTCCCCAGGACTGTGACGGGGACCAGTTTGTCGTCCAGGCGGAGCTGAAGCAGTGTGGCCCCTCGCCCACAATGACATGTCTGAAGAGTGTGGTCCTGTCTCTGAACGGAGGGGCCCACATCATCACCATCAAACCCGATGGGAAAGTGTTAGTCAACGGCATCCACGCCCCAATGCCCTGTTCCACTGGTAATCCATTTCACTGTCTTTGATTCAGGGTCTGGTTAATCATAGATATATA